AAAAATTTTCAAGCACTCAAAAAATTCATATTCAATCAATGATATTATTGAAAAGCAAAAACTTTTTATAAACAGTTTTAGCGTTAAAAAAAACCCAAAAAGAAACGGGCGTAAATCGAAACAATCAGTACTTTCCCACATCACCGAGTGAATTCAACTTGACCCTGAACTCAGAACAAAAGTACCCTTACCCCCTACGTCAAAAAAAGTGTTAGAAGTAAATTAAATAAACAAGAACAAAATTAAAATAAATTAAAAAGAAAAAGATTTCATAAGGATCTGACATTCTCTATCCGAATTGGAGCACTCGGGTTTCGGTTTCAAGTATGCGCGCATGCGCAAGTCATAACGTGGGTACGACAAGAAGTCCGCGTGAATGATTACGTAGCAAACTCTCCATTTTTTGTGAAATGCATGCGATCCACCAGATATCACTGAAGGGAGAAAAAAAATTATTCGAAAAAAAAGCACTTTTTTAAAACGCCAGCTGAAAAAAGCACCTTTAAAAGATTTTAAAAACGAAATCCCCAAAAAAGCACCTTTAAGTACTTTTTACAAACGCTACGCACCCTGTTATAGTAAAATTTAAATCAATGACTAACGCTTAACCCATTAGAAAATTCCGTTTCATCTTTCGCTCATCCCTATTTAATGAATGAATATTTAAACAAACTACATTAACAAGTTTAAAAAAAAAATGTATTTAAACTTGCGTGGATGAATAAAAAAGTATTTTATGAATGATTTTGAACAATATATAAGGAGAGTGTGTAGGGATTGAATGAAAAGAGAGAATTACCTTGATGAGTCCTTCAGAGAAAAGAATTTCAATAGTTTCTTTCAAAATAGGTAGAAGGCCAGAATGATGAATACCAATTCCACGTTTCAGCAATGGCAACACATGTTCAACCTTTAAGAAAGCTTAATTAAGAGTGGATATTCACATGCACTAAACAATTACTATTTCTTTGATTAGCAGGTTATCTGAGAATTTTAAACCAAATATTTAAAATCATCTTGTTTAACTTGGGTCACTGAAAATCTGGGTCTTTCTAAGAAAAAAATGGGATATTGAAAGGGCAGAAGCCTGAAATCTAGAACCTTTCACAAAATTCAGCAGAGAGCAAGATGTTCCTGAAGATGTTTCCATTTTGAACTCCCATTTTATCTCCTTTTCCCATTTTTATCTTCAACCAAAAGGATGAGTAACTTGTTATCCATGGGTGGTTTGGCAGCTGAATATAGATTATAGCATGAAGAAAAACATTTGTTTTAGATCAGGGGTGATTGTAAGCCCAAGTCAAAATTTCGGAAAATTTCTTGAGTTACCAAAAAAAAAAAAAAACAGTTTAAATTTAAAAAATTTAAACAAGGTTTTCTCAATATTTCCTAGTTTACCAAAAATATATTTAAAATTTTACACATACCTATGTTGACCTGGAGAAGTAATTAAAATTTACAAATGTCTTTCTTTCTTGAGTTTATGATTATAACAACTATTTACTGATAAAAAATGAATATTTATCATGAATATAATTGATAATAATTAACGTTGATGGGCAGTATAATTCTTGTTGGTAATATATTTAAGGCTTGATGAAATCATCTATCATTAATGAAAGCTCTAAAGCTATTATTTTAAAATAATAATTTTGTTTTTTACATTATAATTTTTTTTTAAACTCAAAGTCTGACCTTGATAACTCTATTTTCAGTCCTCTCTTCAACATCAAAAATGCTAACATTGTAAACTTCTATGTTAGACAATAAATGGACTTGTAAAATAATTGAAATGTGTTACTTTAACTAATAATGTGTAACTTTAACTATAGAAATTGAACTTGTGTTAAACCATGCAAGTTAAATTTACATTGAATACATACATTACTGTAAATACTGATTAAGTTAATTTTGAGTGAATTTATAGCACTAATCAATAGAACAAATTCTCTTGGGTGTACATTAGATGAATCAACTATTCTTATTGCTAGCAGATTAAAATCAACAATATGTGCTTGATAGTTAAGTAATAAACAAACTTTGCTTTCATTATTGTAAAATTATAATTATGGATTTTATGTTGTTTATAAGGAAATTGATTATAATGTGGAAAAAAGTACCTCAATTTTCATATTGTATTGAATTATTAATGAAGCCTCACACTATTTCCAAATACTATGAGTTAGAAAACATAGCTACACCATTGCCTTGTTTCATTAAATTAACCTGTGTTGCCGATAAAATAAAAGTTTACTTTTCTAAACTTTTAAGTAAAGGATTAAATATAATCATATAATGTATGTAATATTGAAATGAATACACTAATAAATTTCTTATACCATGAAACATTTCTGTTTATTTTGTTATAATAAATTTTCTTTAATGAACTGTTGCCGAGTAAAGAAGTTATCTGATATTAATGATTTATTAAACCATATTTATCGTAAAATTTTAATATAACTGTTATAAAGCATTAGAGCAAATAAAAATTTTTAACTATTGGATAAAATTGAACACAAAATTAATATAAATAACACTAACTTAGAAATCACGTTGATTTCTAAGCGAATCTAATTTATTTGAATTCTAACTCTGAATATTAATCTTTAGAAGCTTACTTCCTGTACAGTAAGTAGCTTCATAGATGCGAACTATACTGGATTTTGCAAATTTCTCCTGATTTTCTGGCTTTCTAAAAATTATATAGGTTTTTTCTATATTTTAGAAAGTTTTTGAAAATTTGGACATTTTCCAATGTAAGATAAATGTTTCATTAAGTTTTTTATCATTTCCTGTGGCAATCGGCCAGAATTGCCTTCTGGTATTTCCATACCTTCCGACTGCAACGAGTGTTATGCACAATCATGCGTGTGTATTACAATTGTTGAATGGTTATTTGTTTTGTACTGTATCAATGTATGTACACATATATACTTCATTAAAATCGGTTCGAGAGATAATCGACCCAGTCTGCAAATTCTCTTAATTTCTTACACCAGTATATATGAATCTTATTTATATCTTTAGACAATATACTATAAAATAAAAATTTAATTTTTAAATATTTTTACGGTTAATTGAAGTTCAAGTAAGTTAGCTAATATATTGAAGAAAAAATAAATACTTGAGGTAATTTTTTATCTTCATCTGATAGCACATCCATGGCATTCTTGAACACTTCTTCCACTAACGGCTTTTCTTCGGCTGTCAACATAAAAACAGAAACATTACACGCATACTATATCATTACACAAAAAATGGTGAATATATACTAACCACTGTTGAAATCTAGCTTAGCCATCTGCATAGCATATGCTTCACATTCTTTCTTGCTAAAACTGAATACAATGACGGGAGCAAAATTCCGCTCCATTATCATCTTAACAATTTTATAGCAGTTGGATCCATCTGAAGGGGTGAAAATAATAGATTTAAATTTCGTGTGTAAAAGCAAATTATCCATGATATAAGCCTCTCAAAAAATATTTTTAAGAAACTATATACATTAACAAAATGCAAAATAATTTTCAAAGACTTTACTTGATCATGATAAAATAACTAGTTTCTGAGAAAGAACTCGTTTCTTGATTATACAGTAGGGAACCGATTATCCGGAACGATCGGGACCATCGCTATTCCGGATAACTGATTTTTCCGGTTTTCTGAATCGCTACAAAAAGCCGTTTTTTTTATTGTTAAACCCAAGTAAAAAAAAAAAATATTTGGAAATAATCTTACAAATAAGAAAAAACGATGAGGTAATGCACTAATGATTATTTCTGAAATGATGGTAAGCTAAACATCTTTCAAAAAAGAAAGAAAAATACTAAAATCTTATGAGGAAAAAAAAATTTCCTGAAAAAAATGGCGGGAAAACTTATCAAATTTCATTCCGGTTTTTTGGTTTTCCGGTTTTCTGATTTCCGGATAACGGGTTTTGTACTGTATTAGCCATTATAAAAAGATAAAGAGATTTTTCAGTTTGGTATCAGAGGGAGGAAAATGAAGCCTGAAATTGAGAATATCTTGAAAATACAAAGTTGCACATGAGAGCACAAGAATCTCACCGAACCTCAGCTCAGTAGATGCACATGCAGATTTCTAAAGATGATTGGCGCTTTCATACGCTACGTAGCGACCGTGTTCCGAAATGGATTGTGGTTGAATGAATTATGAAAACGTTGAACAGAACAATGTGAAAACCACGTCTTAGCATAATACACAACAATTGACAGGATAAAAAAAAATCTCATTTTCGAAAAAGCAAAATTAAGCACTTTTTAAAAAATGATAGATTTTGAAAAACGAAAATAAGTACCTTTAAGAACTTTTTAAAAATTTTATGCACAATGGAATGTAAGACATTTAATAAATCAGTAGAGTTGGCTACAATCAGGGTATCTGCTATATTTTAGATTTTCAAATTCATGACTTTTCATGATTTTCCATGACTAATTCCAAGAATTTTTCAGGACTTAACGAAGTTGCTACTTTCTGCGACAAAAACGCAACAAAAAATTTAAAAAAGCATTATAATAACACTCATTGAAATAATAGGTATAACCAAAACGGTTAAACTCTTCATCTTCATAATTATAGATTTTAAATTTTAAAAAAAAACAGAGTAAAGATAGAGTTGAAACAATAAAATAGCTTAAAAAAATACAAAAGCAAATATTTTTTTCCAGCAGAGTTATATTCTAAAGATACTTTTCTTGTTCATCAGAAAGGAAAGAAAATACTCCTGATTTTTCTGTTCTCATTTCGGAATTAAAAAAAATCACCATTGACTGGTTTGCTTCAACTAGAATTTTAAATTGATAAAATTTTAAAAAAATAAATAACAAGAATTCTGAAATCACAGAAGTTTAAAAGATATTTTGCTCTAGAAATGATGTTTTTTCTTTCATTTTTTGAAAGAACATAATTTTTAAAGAACATGATAAAATCATTTTATGTTCTAATAAAATATGACTGAGTGGTGATTTTGTTAGGAATTCAGATATTTGGAACAGGATGAAATGGGGGGGGGGATTCCATTTTAAAAATTAGATTTTTCGGAGACCTAACTATCCATGATTTTTTTTTTCAAAAATAGTAAAAGTCATGACATTTCCTGATAAATTTTGTTCCATACTGAAATTCATGACTTTCCAGATGCGCGGATACCCTATACAATGGAAAGGGAATGAAATCTGTGTATGCATATTGAGCAGAAAAAAAAGGAGAGAAAATGATGATTACACTAGATTTTGGAAACTACGGGCCATTAGAAAAGACACCCAAATTTCTGGGTCCTTTTTAAAAAAAAGCGAGTCCCTATTTAAAATATGAATTCTCTACTCCTATATCAATCCATTAATATTCACATTCATCATTTTGTAATCCACTAAAAGATAAAACAAAGAATTTTTAAAAAAAGAAATTAGATTTGAGCCAACAATAGTTCTGATCACAACTGATATAAACATATACATCAAGGAAAGCAGTGAGATAATCTGATACTCAGAATTGTTCTAATTTTTTCCTTTAGCCATGAATAAGAAAAGTAAATTTTCTGTATGTATGTTTATAGTTTGGTTACAATTCTACATGCATCAATTCACAGGTCAGTTTTATTTCACTAAATTTTAAAATTTTTGGCATATTTGATGCGCTAGGGCAGATATACAGAATCGTTGACATAAATTAAGAAAGTCCAAAACCAATACAAAATATTGTCAGTTTTTGCTCTTGAATGAGTTAATAATAAACTTTTTTTAAAACTATGTTATTATTTCTTCAGATAAATTTACATAGTATTTTTTACTACTCAAGTTTGTTAAACAAACTTGTTAATAAAACATTAATATGTTAGTTACCTTTCATTCCACCCTTTCTTCCTCTCATTGCAGAATCACCCTTTGACGCTCCTCCCACTACTTGCAGAACATTCATGGCTGTGTTGAAATTCTCTTCACGGAAATTTCCCTTTATCACAAAAGAGAAATCTTTAATTAGATAACAAAAAAATGTTAATAGATGGACAGGGAAATTATTCAACAAAAAATAAGCATCTTTTAAGCACTCAAAAAATATTTTTAAGCACTTTAAAAAAATATCATAGCTGGGCAGGGTTAGAAAGTTTTTGACCATTGCAGTTTTATCTTGTTTTAGCCGTCATGACAAAAACATTTTGGCATTGTTTTTGACAATTGTTAAAAAATCATAAAATTCTGAATCAAGTAACACGAATGGTGTTTTCCTACACTACGGATTAACAATACGCCGAAATAGATTGGGGTTGAATTAATTGTGAAAACGTCGAATAGAACAATGTGAACTGTGTCTTTTTCAGGGGTCTGTCTAGGTTTCTGAGAAAGGTACCTATTTTGCTAAAATTTAGACATAATTTGTGAAACATTAAAAATTATATTAAAAAACCAATACAAAAACATGGTTAAAATATAGATTTATCGTTTCTTAAGGGATACAAAAATAAAATTTTGAAAAAAAAAAAGTATTTTGTGAAACTACTGTTTTTCCTTAAGTTGAATTTGTGAAGGTACCGCTAAACAGTAGTAAATTCAGCCTGGACAGACCCCTATTTTTGCATAATTCACGGCAAAAATCACCATAGTAAAGGAAAAATCTCATTTTGAAAATGGGAAAATTAAGCACTTCTTAAAAACACTCAATGAAAAAAGCACCTTTAAGGGCTTTTAAAAATCGAAAATAAGCACTTTCAAGCACTTTATAAAAATGCTACGCACCCTGATGGACATATTTTTGTAGTTGTTTTATTTTACTGCCAAATCTGATATAGAATTAAAGAGAAGAGGTTCCACTCATCGGGGCAGAAGGAAAAGGTTTGAAGGAAAAAGGAAGAAAATTCCCTCGACATATTATACACAATATGTAAAGAGGAAATACACAAAGAAAGAAACTGATTTACACAAATTCAGAAAAAGACATAATAAGAAAATAACATTTAGAATTAAGTCAAAAGCAGCTAAAACCAAATTTGTCTTATTTTGATAATTTAGAAAATTTGAAACACAAATCAGGCAAAGAACGAAGAATTTTAAAGATATGCATGTTAGCAAAACAGAACTTCAACAGGGGACACACTGTCTGCTAACATACAGGAAATCCCTCTGTCGCCAGTGGTAATAACAAAAACTGACTACCCCGAGGCCCCATAATGGATGAACAAAATAAGAACAAGCAATTAAAAGATCAAAAATTGAAAAGTAAATGCAATAAAAAATTAATGAAATACAAACACAGTTCAAAAGTACATAGGGTAAGACCTAATGATGAAATGCTCACTAATAAGAAAAATAAATAAAGATAAGTGTTAGAGTTAGAATAATCAAATCAAAATAAAATAAAATTTAAATTTCCAAATCCTTTAAAACTTTGAGAAATAAATCAAGTGAATGCGAAAAATAAAATCGAAATTCTTAAAAAATAAAGCAAAAACATTCAAGGAGTAAAATTTCAAAAAAGTGCTGCCATCTATATGCTTCAGGAACAAAAAATGCAAAATTTCACCGCATAATCTTATTTATCTTACTCTATGTACTTTTGAACTGAGTTTGTATTTCATTAATTTTTCATTGCATTTACTTTTCATTATCGGCCAAATTATTTTAAAGTCTTTAAAATATTTCAAATCAAAACATCATAATTACAGTAATGTAAAGGAATATTATTATTCTCTAATGTAATCTTGAATTTCCCAATAGCTGAAAGAAAATCTGCTTTATTATTACAAATAAATTTAAATCTAATAATTTGACCAATCAAAATATTCTTTAAAATCTTAAAGTAAAGGTTGGAATTAAAATGTTTTTAACTAATAACATTAAACTTAAAATCTCTTCTTTTATTGGATAATCTGACGAAAATGTTTTGGTTATAAATTTTAATATCAAGATCTAAAAAAGTAGTGTCATCTTCATCTGAATTAGTCTTTATTACATTAAGTTCCTTTAATTAAATCAAAATCATTACAATCAAAAATGATTAAATCATTAATAAATTTAAACCCAATTAATGAATCATGTAAAAAATTTTGTTCATAAAAATGTCTTTGATATTTCTCGTTCTCAAAGCCAGGCGACTTTAGACATCATGTTGAGGGGATTTCTTTCCATAGACAAACTATTCTTAACATAGATAAACTAGATAACCGTTATAAAGCCAATTTAAAAATTTTAGCTTTGCCTCCCTCAAATTCATTTTCCTTAACAAAAGAGATTCAATTAACACGATTTTACTAATATAACTTAAGAGTGAGAAATTATGAATCATTTTGTGAGATGTTCCCCCAGAATCAATAACAATTAACTGTCAAAATCAAACTTACACTTTCATCAACAACTAGATGCAAACCATCACCGCCAGCAGGAAATATATACTGTTGCAAAGGAACTGGTCTGTAGTCGGTGTATACAACATGACAGGGCTAGAGAATTAGACAATGTTGAAATTAGGCAGGGGAAAAAATGAGATAGAGCAAAGATAATTTTAGTTAACAGAAAATTAATATTTCCAAAAATAATAATAAAATGAATAAATAAAATAATTTTTATAAGAAACTGACTAAAAGTAACATTTAAAATCACACTTTGTGGCAGAATTTTTTCGAACTATCTGCAACAAAACTCTCTAGCACTAATTTGTTTCTGCAAGTTACTTTTAAAAATAACAAACATGCATGTTACTAATTTAAAACACCAAAAGCACTGTTTACAATATATATACATAAATATATATATAACTTTTTCTTTAATTTGAACAAGTAATAATTTTTTATTCTAGTATTATTTGTGATATCCTCGCAATTTTTTTTGGAAGGGGGGCACACAAATTATTCCCGTCGCATTTTGTAAATAATCATCACAATAAAAAACATAATTAAAATTAATGAAAGCAGTAGTAATTGCCGACAAAAAAGATCGACAAGTAAATAAGGCAAGTTCTCATCTCATATGCTTGCTTCAAGATTGGGTTGTTGTAATAAGTAATAAATATCGTATAAAAAATATTGGATTTAAAAATTATGAAGAAATCAATAGCAATAACTGTCAAAAATTCGGCAGAATTATTTATTTAAAAAGCAAATGCTCAAATACCAGACTCGAATTTTCCATATTGTTTAAAATATATCGGAATGTTTAAGAACCACATGAAAATCAATATCAACACCTGCCAAAAATACAATCGAAACATTACAGGGTGGCCACTCAAAACATATTTCAAATTTCCCTGATTTTTCCAGGTTTTCCAGGTAAAAATCTTAAAATTTCCAGGTTTGTGTTTTTTTCCTTTATTCTTATAAAGTGTAGGATGTGTACAAGAAAAGTGTCTGCATTATAAAATATCTTATTCAAAAAAAAAATTTTTAAACATATCTTGAAAAAAATTTTATTTTTTTAATATTTTTAATGTTTTGGTACAACATTAATTTTTAAAAAATTACGACGCGGAGAAAATAATATGTTTAGCTTGCAGAATATATTGTTTTTATTGAATAATTTTAATTGTTTTTATTGAATTTAATGTGTTACTTTAAGTAGTATTTGCTCAAAGTGTACCTACAAAATGACAAAATNTTTAAAAAATTAAGACGTGGAGAAAATAATATGTTTAGCTTGCAGAATATATTGTTTTTATTGAATAATTTTAATTGTTTTTATTGAATTTAATGTGTTACTTTAAGTAGTATTTGCTCAAAGTGCACCTACAAAATGACAAAATCAGAATCACCAATAAAACCTTGGATAAGTATTGTTTAATATATTTTTATTAAGGAAAAGAAAACCGTTTCAGGTGATTATATATCAATAATTTTTAATAATTACAGTGGCTCCCAAAAGTGATCACTCACTTATAACTTATATTGAAATAGGAAATAATAATTCAATAATTAAAATGAATATTTCACAATGGGTATTTGATAATAAGATTTATAATCTATTCTTAGCAAAACTGCATGGAATATTTGAAAAACAAAGCAAAAGTAAATTTTTTAATCAAATAGTAACAAAAATGTCACCCCACGAAAGTCATCGTACATTTAAATGTTTTGGATCTCAGAATTAAAATTATCGTCAATTGCTTTTTTTATTTAATTATTTTTCATTTCTTTATTAGCAATTTAGTATCAAACCTATAATAGCAAAATTATATTTTAATTTTTGCTTGCTAACTCCGTAATATTTTATTTTATCATTTAAAAATGACTTGTGGTCGTAATAAAATAGACCAAATTTGATTATTTGTCTTCATAAGAGGTAAATCAGTAATGAATATGTTAAATTAGTTTACTGTATTCAATTGAACTGCGCAATATGTGATAAAATGCTTAAAAGAAGGACTTCATATCAGAGATTAAAAT